TGTAATGGCTCTGAAAATCAGGAAAGGATTGAAGGGAACATTGCTTACAGATTCCAAGATATCACTTTCTTCAATGGGTCTATGGAACTAATGGCCGTCCCTAAAAAAGTAAAAAGAAGCTTCATCCTAACAACTTCCTTAACATGACAATTAATTTTGAACACGCTAAAAGTACACTTTCATAACCTTTTCAAATTGCTAAAGCAGGTTACTCATCACCAGACTTACTCCAAAGCTATTGCCAATGAATCGCAGGTTATTCGTCACAAGAGGGGGGATACAAAATGGACCAAAGGCATTGAAACCTCAACCTCTGATAAGTACTTTCAATAGCTCATTGCACCCAAACTTGAATGCCCACTGCCATAAAAAATAAGAACGACAATCCCAGTAAAACCCCACGAAAGTAGGGTTTGGAGAAGGTGATATGTATCCAAAACTCACCCCTACTTGGAAGTATGCCTATAAACTCTCAAACACATTATGTAATTTAGTAGGGTTTGTGGCAGAGTGAAATTACCACACTTGTTCTGTTGTGGCGGGATTCAGCAAGAGGCAGCGCAGTAGAGAGAGAGGATGATGAAATGAGGGAGTAGATGTGCACTTTTCATTGCTGAACCAGCACTTTGAGTGAACCATTAGGCATTATCAAACAGTTCAAAGTCTGATTTTTTTAAAATATTAAAACTACACTTTTTCTTTGAAGATTTGTCATTGGTGTTGTGTTCAAATGGTTTGTTTAGTCGAAAAATCTTCAAAGTATTAGCTTTGTTTGACTTGTCATAATGTAAAACAGGTTACATATTTGCAAGATCATCATATTCACTTGAATAAGATGTAAGGTAAGGAATATTAGCACCACAACCTCCTCTTATAATTGGGTCTCGGACTCTGGCTTGGCCCAACAACTAATGACTTCATTTTTAAAAATTTCAGGTTACTTCGGGTTCATACTACTTCATGTTCGGGTCAATGTGGGTTCAAGTAGAGAACTATATGTTCATCACCATTATCATTTGGTCTGGGTCGACCCAACGGGTTAAAACTTTGATTCTAAACAAAATGTTAAAAGTTATTCCATTCTGAGTGACCATTGTTCATGGTTAAGGACATTTTGGTGGCTAATTAATCTTAGTTTTAATTTGGCAGGGAATACATCCCAGGGGCGTGTTTGCAGCCTTGACAGTGTTAGAACATCTATTGCCCAGTAAGCCAGGGTTTTTGGGTTTTGAAAAACAAAAGGTGTGTTCTTTAATATTATTTTTTTGCTTTTTAAAAAGTGGACTCTTCATTTGACTCATTAGCGAACAGTTCAAAGTCTGATTTTTTTTAAAATATTAAAACTACACTTTTTCTTTGAAGATTTGCCATTGGTGTTGTGTTCAAATGGTTTGTTTAGTTGAATATTTGCAAGATCATCACATCATATTCACTTGTATAAGACGTAAGGTAAGGAATATTAACACCACAGCCTCCTCTTATAATTGGGTCTCGGACTCTGGGTTGGCCCAAAAACTGATGACTTCATTTTTTAAAATTTCAGGTTACTTCGGGTTCATACTACTTCATGTTCGGGTCAATGTGGGTTCAAGTAGAGAACTATATGTTCATCACCATTATCATTCGGTTTGGGTCGACCCAACGGGTTAAAACTTTGATTTTAAACAAAATTTAAGTTCATATTAACACTTGCATTTTTCTTTAAGTAAAATTAAAATATCAAAAAAA